TACCGATCGGCGCAATCTTCTGTACATTTTAACGATCGTATAATTGCGCGGCAATCTTAACATTGCGCCACATGTTTTAATGAGCTTTTAATTGCGTGGTAATCTTAAGACAGACAGCCGCGCAATTTTTCAATCGTTAAAACACGCAGCTTAAGATTGCACTGATTCATAAATAGCGCGGAACACACACACACAATATATATTTCATGGTTTAGGACTAAACTAATTCCTATTCCGTTCCTGTCAGGAATCATCTAGATAAGTGAAACTGTTGATAAACAAACAGGTTAACTGCTCAAATAAATGAATAGACTATAAACGGATTGATACAGTGTTTTATAACATAATATGTAATAAAACAGACAGAGATATTTGCATATGTGCTCACTGATGGAATGAGTGAATGAATAATTAATCAACAAGGGAAAACAGGTCTGAGAAAAAAGGGATGAAGGAATAAAGGAAGAGTGCAGTTTGTTCTAATCAGGAACCCCCAGGGCCCAGAAACTTAAAAACACAAGCAAACTGGTGAACTGCTTCATGCAACTAGATCAGAAAAACCTGACAGGAATTAATTGAAAACAAAAACAAAACCAATAGAAAAGTACAAGAAAATAATACTAAAGACGAAATATGGTTACCCTCAACTAATCAGGAGTCTAAAAATCACCAACAGTGCAATGGATGTTTTTGCCTTGATGACATCAACGTTTATTGGCACGCTATGCACTGATTAGATTACTCTCTTTCTTACTGCTACATGCACATGTATATGTATACACATATATATATATATGCATGTGCATTATATATATATATATATATATATATATATATATATATATATATATATATATAAATACATATATTAAAAAAATATAACGTATTTGCAGAGCTATCTTCACCAAGGCTTTCAGTGTTATTTCTTTTTACAGTTGACGCAATAATTCTCCTCTTCTTTTCAACATTATCATCATCCTTATTATCATCATCATCAACATCAACATCACTTTCCTCGTTTTCGTCATCATCATGATAATACTAAGTCTACCCAATTCCTTCTCATCCTCTATGGAATTCACCAAAGGCTCAGCGGCATGACTTCAGCAATAACAGAAGCAATAGGCATAGATGATATCTATGTTGCCCCCACCAACAGTTTATTATTATTATTAGTCCCCTCCCCACCCCCCACCCCCCACCCCCTCTCCTCACTTCTTGAGTTAAGACATCAGTGGAAGGGCCCAAAAACTGTTGGTAAGAGGTTTCATTTGGCACTGTTGAGTTGGTGTCTCCCTTTCTATCCCTTTCCCCTACAACACGCAGGAGACAAAATGAGACTCTCAAGGAACTGTAACGACAAAATCTGGCAGCTCAAGTACTCAACAATGACAACCACCATAAGTCTTATTTGAGCGAGAGATTTACAAAGTACATACAATAAGTAAGCAGGTAAGAAATATAGCAACCTTGATTTTAACTTGAACAGGTCGACTTCATAAATTGTCATCTTCCCAGGCATCCTGTCAAAGCTCATGGAGTACAGCAGCAAATATATCCAGAACAAAGACAATTTTCTCTTTGCTCTACAGCTGTGAGAAACTGAATGTTCATTGAGAAAAGAATTAAATGAAGAGCAAGATGAAAATGAGCCATCAACAATGAATCTCTATGAACATAACTAGGCAAGAAAAAGAATATCAGCAATTTTGTGAGAATTATTCAACATTATTGAAACTGTCAACACTTATACAAGGCACAAGTCAAAAGGAAATAGCTGTAATATTCTGAGGTTTTCTCTTGGCCAACTGAGAGAAGCAGCTTGAGCTGTAGCAGCAGTTTGTTGATAAGTCGCGACTGTGGACAACTAAAGATATGAAGGCATTCAACACAGACGTGTTCTATTCTTTACACACAACAGAGACACCACAGAGACCCCCCCCCCTCCCACACACACACACACACACTCTCAGTGGGCAGAAAGTTATGTGAGGTTTCGTGAATAAGAAATTCTGAGACCAAACAAAAGAGAATCCAGCAAGCTGCCCGCACATACACTAGTGGAAGTGGAGCTTTGGAATGCCCAAAATGTGGCAAACAAGTCTTCTTAATCTTTAACTCGTCGAATTATTCCATTTTGCTCGAGAAATGTGAGTGAGTGTGTGTGTGTGTGTGTGTGTGTGTGTGTGTGTGTGTGTGTGTGTGTGTGTGTGTGTGTGTGTGTGTGACTGGGAAAATGGTCCACATGTCGCATATTATTATGCTTATTTAGAGTAAATTCGGAAAATAGTGAACAATTTTTTTTTTCTTTTGGAATTTTGAGACTCGTACGGATATCAACTTATCAACCATTTTTCTCCATCCTCGCAAAATATTTCACGCCAATTCTTCTTCTAAGTATGTTTTAAAAGCTTTTAAAATACATGCCCTTTACATAATATCACGAAATGGCGTTGACTTTTGACATTTTTCTCAAAGTAGTTGGTGCACACCCCTCACTCACCAAGCATGTCTCAAAGTAGTTGGTGCACACCCCTCACTCACCAAGCATGTCTCAAGGTAGTTGGTGCACACCCCTCACTCACCAAGCATGTCTCAAAGTAGTTGGTGCACACCCCTCACTCACCAAGCATGTCTCAAAGTAGTTGGTGCACACCCCTCACTCACCAAGCATGTCTCAAGGTAGTTGGTGCACACCCCTCACTCACCAAGCATGTCTCGAAAACTATTTAAGATATCTGAAATATTCTAAAAAACAAGAGGCACCTCCAGGAAAGGCTGTTCTATACAGAAATGTAATAAATTACAAGAGTTAAAAATTGCACACGTTGTGGACCCTTGTCTCAGACACACACACACAAATGTTCTCCTCTCCGGATGTATCGGTCATCGCTGGACATTGACAGACACATTGTCGTTGTACATTACCATACAATATCTGAAACTTAATAAATCATGTTGGGTGGTTGGCGGGTGCTCAGGGCTGGTTTTCTTCTTCTTTCCAACCAAACATCTATCGTCTTTATCTCCCCTCCTTCTTCTTTGTGTTTGTTACTCTCATGTAACACCTCAGCATTTATTTGACCTGATTGTGTTGCAAGTGCCGTAAAACTTACTAAAGCTAAAAATTGTTATAAAGATAAAAGGCATCACATTATTCTGTATACATATAGTATAATATTATTATATCATATAGACAAACATTGACTGTAAGACCCTGGTCCCCGGACCCTACCTGGCACAGAAAGCAATGTCACATCACGCCAAGTTTTTGTCTGAGAAAACAATACGGTAGTGCTAAGATTCTGCTGCTGTTACATTTGAGGAGGCACATCGCATACATACAACTCAACACGCCTCATACACAGACACACATTTTATCTGTTTCAAAAACAAAAACTCACAAACTTAATCCAAACAAAGTTCAACAGATCTAAATGTCACTCCAAACAAAAACAAAAGTTAAAATTACGTCGAACAAAGAGAAAAACTAAATTCCGGAATAAAATAATTCTATGTACATGTAGGCGGCTTTTTGGTCCACTGAGCATCTAACATTGAACAAATGTGAGACGAGCTTTTCAAATGTCCAAACAAATGTGAAGTTAGAGATCAATAAGACCTAGACCTATATATATATATACAACATTTGATTATTTCTGACCTATGTGGAAAAGTAAGCATTCAGACCTCTACGGTACGGGATTCCTTTGATTTTCCTTCCTTGTAAACAAAGATGTCATTGGGCTTTAAAGGACAGAAATGTTGTGTTCTATTCCAAGTGTGTATTTAAAATTATGAACTTTAACCCCCCCCAAAAACCAACAAAACAAAACAAAACAAAACAAGGCACAAATAAATTGAAGGAGTGACACATTAAGAAAATCAAAGATTTATCTATATGGCTTTGCCAGTGAGTCGGTGTAACATAAAGTAACAGCATGTGGGTTGTGTGCCCATTTCCATACATTATCAGAAAATTGGATTAATTGTGTGAGTGTAAATGTATATGTTTGTGTGAGTGTTTACGTGTGAGTGTGTGTGTGTGTGTGTGTGCGTGTGTGTGTGTGTGTGTGTGTGAGTGTGTGTGTGTGTGTGTGTATGTGTGTGTGCACGCGTCAGTGCACGCACGCTAGTATTGAGTATTTATATGTGTTTGAGAGAGAACAAAAAAGAAGGGAAGAAGAAGGAGAACAGAGATATAATTCTAAAAAAGGGAAAGAAGCCAAAAAATGAAAGTATAAATCATGATATAGTGATGACCAAGATTGGAAGAGTAGAGGAAAGAAAAGAAGAGACAGAGAGGGGAGT